CGCCGCGGCCGCCCCGGGCTCACCGGAGGTGATGAGGCTGTTGAGGTCGCGGATGACGGCGCGGAAGCAGGGCCGGTGCCGCGGCTCGTAGTCCATGCACTGCGCGATGAGTGTGGCCAGCTCGGGCCACTTGGGCGCGGGCAGCTGGTGGCAGCTCTCATAGAAACGCAGCTTCTGCGGGTGCAGGAGGGACCGCTCGAGATGTGCTGTGGGTACCTGGCCCTGAGCATCACCCATGCCCCAAGTGTCACCCATGCCCCAAGCATCACCCCAAGCATCACCCAGCACCTCCCGGGCTGCCAGGTTGAGGCATCACCTGCGCCATGTCCCCCTGCGCCCAGGCGAGTGTGACAGGACAGGGTGGCGGGTGGCACGGGGTGGTGGGTGACACGTGGCGGCTGGTGACACAGGGTGGCTGGTGACGTTACCTCCTGCGGCTCCAGCAGGCTCATGGGCATGTTGCCACCGCTGAAGATCTCCCAGAGGGTGGCCCCGAAGCTCCACTTGTCGGCCGGCAGCGCCAGGCTCTGGGGGTTGCTGACGCACTCGGGGGCCACCCAGGGGATGCGCTGGGCGAGCGCTGCGGAGAGCGGCACAAACCCGTCAGCGCCCGGCCAGGAGCCCCGGGACCCCCTGTGCCACCGTCCCCCGCACTCACTGTCCTTGGCCAGGACGGTGACGCTCACTCCGGGGTCGTTGAGCTTGATGAAGGGTGGGCTCCCGCTGGCCGCGTCCCCCTCCCGCGTCAGCAGCACTTTCTTAGCGGAGACGTTGCCGTGCGTGATTTTTTTGTCCTCCTGGTCACGGGAGAGAGATGCAGGGATCAGGGCTGGAGATTCCACAGGACACGGATGCACGGGAGCCATGGGATGGGTGTACTCAGAATCCGCAGGATGAGACTGCGGGATGTCACCACCGCGGCACCGGCGGTGGCTCACCAGGTAGTTGAGGGCGTGCGCCAGCTGCTTGGCCACCTGCAGCTTCCAGCTCGTGGTCACCTTGCCCTCGCCGTGGTTCTTCTTCAGATAGAGGTCCAGGGGCCCGTACCGGACGTATTCCTGCACCATGATACCTGCGGGCGGCGGCGGTGGTCGGCCGGGGACCGAGCGGCGGCCTCGCGGCGCCCGGGGACGCTACTCACTGTCCTTGCCCAGGCTGACGCCGTGCAGCAGCACGAGGTGCTTGTGCGAGAGCTGGCTCATGACGCTGGCGGCCTCCAGGAAGGACTGGGAGGCAGGGAGGCTGCGTCAGGGGCTGCAGGGGACCCCGGAGCGGGACACATGGGGACACGGCCGGGGGGGCGCCCTCACCTCGGGGCAGTTGTG